TACCTACTGCGGTACTGCATGTTCGTCGAAGTCACTGGCCTGGGGATGTCTTCTTTCACGCCCTTTTACCGGATGAAACGTCCTACAGCTCTGGTCAAGCGGCTGAGGTGACGCAGGAAATGCTGCCAAGCACCAGACATTGCCATACTGTAATGATGGATAAAGGTGCAACGCAGGTGAAGGCCTTTCATCGTCTGTAGCCGCACTCAAAAATTGTGTGTTGCCGCTACCATGTGAAATGTGACATGACTCGAGGTTGCGGTCACTTACGTGGCATATCAGATGCTCGACGAATGCAGTTACGCGCATGGTTGCATAACCTAATCTACACTCGTGATGCTTGCCAATTTGACAGGTTATTAAACGCGGTGCGGTTGTGTAATACGGAATGCTACCGGTATTTGTGCGGAACATGGCTGCAATACGCGGACTGTTGGGCAACTCACAGACAGAGATGTGGTGCTTTTCGGATGCCATACGACCAGCAGATTAAAGAATGGAAAGTAACACCTGAAGGTGTACTTGTCTGAGAGCTGCCCACTGCTGACTCTCTACACAAGTATCGTTGATCTTGTCAGTAGTCTCGTGCATGAAAGGAACAGCATCATAGTGAGGCGTATCATGAGCGCCGTATCCGCCCCATCGGAAGTGTCTTCTGTGCTGTTGTTTTACACGCAGCTGAGTGAGTTCGTGGCCAATGTTTTCTTAGCCCATTTTTGCTTATCTCCAGTTCTCCGGTGTCGGTCTGATGGACCGTATTGGTTGGTATCCTTACTTCAGTCCAAGTTGCGTCGTGCCTACATTACCCGTGGAAGCGAATGTGATTGCGAGTTCAGGAGGCAGTGGCGGCTATCATGCAGTCACATTTGTTGCGGCGCTTGCCTTCAAGGCCATTCCGTGGATGACGTAATACATGGTTGTCGATATACTGCGCCCCGGCATGCTCCCGCATCTAGCTCCGGCGTTGTGGCGGAAGATAGTGTGTTGGCTATTCCAGATCGTCATTTGTGAATGGTTTAAACGTCATATACGACCAGTACATAACGCGATCGTGGTGCGGTTTAAAAATCCAACGCAGTTCCCCGTTGTGAAGGATAATGTCACCTTGCAAGTGTGATTCAATGACGCTTGCGGTACACACCTGGCGGAGTACCATAACTATTTACCAAAGTGCGGCAATGAACCGCAGTGAAATGCATTGCAGTACCACAGTTGAGTAACCTCTTGGGAACATCGCATTCCTACCTGTCCCGTGCATTTGATCCATCGGGCATTGTTCCCCTTTAACCAGCACTATACATTGACAGCCGCAAGGTTTGTTCCACAGACTCATTTCCGCGTACATATTTCCAGGCAGACTCCACTGCTGAAGTAACTGGTAAACCTGTAGTGGGGATCGTTCTATGCCTCAGGGCGGTGGGTGTCGGTTCATTGTGCTCCTGTTGACCGCCTTTTGTGTTCCACTCTGGCGGTGTATGCGTTTAGTTTGAAATCCTTGTGACTAAATGTGTTCCGGTAATACTTGTCGGCCTCCACGTAACCTTAGCCCCCGCTATCTACTTTGCTGCGCCTCCCGTACATGTATTGTGTGTCCACATTTGGCCCTGCAAATGGTTATTTATCCGGGCTGTCTATTTGTTTTATCCGACCTTACTGGGCTGTTCCCACGTAACATTTGTCGCCGCCATCCCACTGGTTGCACATTTTGTCAGGCTATTGGCTCTGAACAAATCGCTTTGAGTGCTGCTCACTATCCGTGCTGCTTGTATACCTGATCCGGCAATGCTGTTTAACCCTCCACGTAACCTTCGCCGCCGCTGTCTACTCCGTTGCACTTCTGGTAAGTGTATAAGCTGTTCACAGGTGGCTTTTAAAACTGCCGTGAATGCGCTCCACCTATATAGGTGGTGCCGCACTGTCGCTCGGCCTCCATGAAACCTTTACCCGGCCGATACGCACCTTTTCGCCGGTAAGTGTATTGCCTCTTAACATTACTTTTCTTGAAAGGTGATGTCCATCCGTGCTGGCGATATGGGTTATCCGCCTTTCGTAGACATAATGCACATCTGCCGCAATCCACCGTCCACCTTACCGACCTCGGACATCCCGTGACGTACGTGCATTAGTCGTCTTGCGCCATGCCACGGGATACGGTCTTCCTTCGCGTTCAACTTTCGTCTACATTTCACATGCCTTAGCGAACGGAGCCACCGCCCTTTTCAGGTCCAACCTGTGTCACTGCGTTGTCGTCCCACATCGCATGGGCAACGTGCCAACACTACACATTCCTTGCGGCGGACTACGACCTCATAAGGTTTAGTGGGTTGTTCTGTAATCATCAGAAAATATATGGCCGATTTCCTACATCCTGACGTGCGACGGAACACTGCAATCAACACGAACAACATGCTCATCCGTTAAGAACGTGATAAGTGCACGTTATGCAGTTATCTTTAAACATGAACATGCCGCTGTAGTCTTACATTCTTCGTAAAACTTG